TCATTTTTATCGAATTTTATTCATTCTTGGGAGTCAAAGTAGAGTCCCTCATTGATTCGTTTCCAACTGCCGACTTTTATAACTAAATCCTCACAATCCTCCATAATTCCATCTCAACAACATTCAGAAACACTGATTTGACCTCCCATGGCGGATGCTAACCCAAAACCTCTCCCTCTTGACGGAGGCGATCCACCCAACGAGAGTAACAAGACCGTCTCCGACTCCGCATCCGCCATTGCCGCCGGTGGTTCTCCTCCAAGCAAACACCCAAACGAAAGTTCAGATTCTAACGAAAACGAAATTGAAGACACTGCTACAAGCAAACCGAAGAACGAAGAAATCAAAGAGGTTGAAATCGACAACATTGACATAATGAATGAGATTCTTGAGTATCGAAATCGGAAAGGAGGGTGTCCGGGTAATAACCCCGACGATTTCCGAAGATTCTGCTATCCTTACATTTTTCTGGGCATTGGGAACGCAAGAGGATGGATCAAGAAAATGAAAGAGATTAAGAACAAATTCAACAGAGAGAGTGCTCCAACGGAGGAAGTTGATAAGAATGAATTCGATTTGTGGAAAAAGATTTGGGGGAATGAATGAAAAGGGGCGATGATGATCCGAAATTAGGTTCATGTAAATGGGTTTTCTAGAATTTGTGTAAAATGATGATTTCTTACCTCAAGAAATTTTTGAACTGAATTTGTAGAGCATACTCAGATGTATTGAAATTAAAATGATGATTGGAATATTTGATTTTGGTATCAACATATTTTCTTGGATGGAAAAATTGCATTTTGGTATCAACATATTTCGTTTGTAATGTAAAATTAACATGATTCTTTAATTTAAGGGTTGTTTGGTAACACGTCTAAACTATTATCTTCTAAAGAGTATAAATGTTAAACTTTCTCATGGATTTCTTTAATGAATCAAAAAGTTCACATGACTTGATATTTGTCCAAAGTGGCTAAAAGGGTGTTGGAATATTTGGAATCTTTCTAAATTGTTTTAGTAAAAAATTATATTATTTTGTATATATGAAATGAAACAAAAACAAAAAAGAAAATGTTTGTATATAGATTTGACCTGACTTTAAATCGATCTTTTATCAAAATAAAATAAGGAAAATGCTATACGTACCATCCCAATTGTTTTGTGTACCTCTAATGTGAGTGCAATAGTGTTTGTGTATCCCCATGACGATTTATGTGAGTGAGAAATATACATATAATAATATCCATAAAATAAATAAATGACTCCTCTACCTACATCACCAAACAACATCAAACTTTTCCTACTTTATTACTTTATTAGTTTATTTTTTTTATTAAAAATAAAATATAATTGTTTACAAAATCAATTTTGTCAAATAAATTAGTTTTACTACTACACAAATATACAAGATCGATATGTGGACTATAGGATGGGAGCAATTTCAACATGTTTTGTGGTTACATCTCGAGCAAATTGGGTCTTTTTTATTTTGTTCTTTTCAAATTAATTTTTGTTTTTAGTGGAAAAAGATCATTGGAGAGAGAATGAGTGAGTGTTGTCAATTTAGATTGTTTTAACAAAATAAATAAGTAGCGACCAAAACCACAAAAACGCATTGCCAAAATGACTATTTTGATAGTTAGAAATGTTTTTGGACTTTAGCCAAATTGCAAACCACAATGAGCATTTTTTTCTCAGTTATCTCTAATCAGAACATATATTATTACTCTAACTAGAACGTATATTAGTACCGGTCATATCAAATCACCAGCAAATATTATGTATGAGACCCATACATTACATAGTTATTTAAAAGATAAATTAAATATGAAATTCTAATCATGTAAAAAGTTTGAATTTATAAGAAAAATATTGAAATGTTTTTTTCAATATGAGACCCATACATTTAAAATGTTTTTTCTCTTTTAAATTTAAATAAATAATTTAGATAAATAAACAAATGAAACTAAGAAGGCTTTAATTTAGTAATTTTGAAATTAAAAGGAAAATCCATTAATGAAATTGATATGCATTTATTATCATTACATTTAAATATTATATGGAATTTAATAAAATGAAAACAAAATCATAAAATGACATATGAAATAAAAATAAATTTAAAATAACCACAAAATGATATGTGGCAAAATAAATAAGAATATGACATGTGACAAAAAAATTATTTATTAGAGTAGAGATTAAACGTCAAAATATCATATTTATCAAGTCTAAAATCTAAATATTATATTTATCCTTCTTAATTCTTTAAAATATCAAATTTTTCCAAAATCTATTTTTTAATATATTTTAATATTGTACAATCATTTTTATAATATAAAATCATTAAAATTGGAAAAAGAAAACTAAATGGACTATATTGCTCTTGTCTTTTAAATCACATGAACTTTTGAATCTATATATGAACACGATGCATTCGAGACCTATGCAATTATGGTGTTAACCTCTCGCCATCTTCCTTTTTAGTTTTACGTTCTCACCGTAATGTTAATTTTTGTTGCAGGTCACGTCTGACTTCTCTATTAATACTTGATTTGCTGGCTGATCAAAAGGGACGAAAATGGTTGAAGAACGTTCATGTAATCAATGTACAAACCATAGTGTTTTAAGATATTTTTTATGTGATATTGCCAAGCTTGGGTCTTGATGTTCTTGGTAGATATCTCTTGTAATCTATAGACCAGTAGTGCAACAAATTAATGATTACTATCCATTTTTCTTGTATTTTCGAGGTTTTTTCCTCTTTGTATAATTGCATAAGTTTATTATCTATCTCATCACCTACTACAACACTTTTAAGATGCATACAAAAGGGTGTAATTAAATTATAACATCATTGAAAAAAATAAAAAAATATAAAGTATGAAAAAGTATATGTTTGATGATTTTGTAAATAAATATATTTTGTTATAAGATCATCTACATCAATACCATGTTATTGTTCTTTTAATTGTGTCATGTCAGATTTGTAATTAATCTTTATATTAGTGCAATACCCTCGTATTTTCAAAAATGGTCCTCATCGCCACCTCATTTATCACTTTATAAATATTTAATCATTTAAAAATTTAGAAATTTAAAATATTCATTTAATCATTAATATTAATTTATTAAATTCTTAATTAGTTAATAAAAAGTTACACATAGCTAGTTAATTATCTTTAGGTTTTAACAATATGACTATAATTACGTACCAATAACTTATATGCTACATTTTAATAATATAATTATAATTACATATATAACAATTACTCCTTTATCAAATAGAGGAAATGATATTACAAGGGAAAATGGAGTTAGTGGCGCAACCCACATTCTCATTTGCAAGGCTTTCATAAGTCGAAAGATCTAAGTACACGTGGCAATTGAAATTCATTTGCAAGACTATTGCAAGATGCAATGTGTTGCTCTGACTCATTTATGTTGGTAGTGATTGCTCATATTTATGTAGTTCATAAGTAGCAGTTATGTACTTAGAGGTTACAACTTTTTGTTCAACCATTCATTGCCCTATATAAAGGGTTATCATGTATTCTTGTATCACACATTCACATTGTTTAATGAGAATCATTGCATGATCATTAAGCTAAGTTAATTTGCCTTACAACATGTTATCAACACGTTGCTCGAAGATGGAAGCATCATAATCCACGTTTGTCACTCGACGAGTAACAAAAACGAAAACTTTCAGGGTCGTTATTCTCTCTAATTGTGAAGTAAGTCTTTCTTGATACTCCTTAACTCCGTCTAATTTTTTTCCATTTGATATTATTATGGGAAAAATGGAAATTTTTGGTACGATCAAAAGTGAGATAAAAGAATTTGTTAGATATTGTTTATTTTGATCTACTCGAGTTTGGACATTAGACGTGTTTTTTTAAATGTTTTCAATGTCACATAATCAGAATAAGAGACCCCTAGTGATTTACTTCCTAAACCTGCAGTTTTTTTTTATCATTTTTTTTCATGATGGACACATAAATTTACAGTAACGGTCCTTGTAGTCTTGATAACTTATCATTTCTTTTGTCAAAAGACCATAAGTCACAAATATCCTCTATAGTTCATGTCCATCATATGTTACTATGATTATTACCAATGTTAGTATTCATGTCATTATATAAAATTATTGGTTGGAAAAACGTAACTTTTGTATAGTCATATATATATATATATATATATATATATATATATATAATATATATATATATATATATATTACAAACACGTGCGTTTTTATGAGCCTATAGTTACTTATTTATGAAGCATAAATGGTTTTTTTGACCATTAAAATTCATAAAAGTTGTTTTATAACTCTTAATATTAGTAGAATTTCAATGGTTTATTTACTTCTCAAACATGAGCTTTTGTAAGGGTCGAAATGCTTTGTGAGGTGTCGAAGTCCTTTTTGGTTTGTGTAGTGTCGAAGTCTTGCACTTCGCTATGTATGTATTTTGTAAGGCACTGTTAGATATTGAAGCGTAATGTCTAGTCCTTAAATATTTTTGTATGCGTCTGTATCACCCTATAAATAGGGTTAGTATAGAAGTAGAGAGTAGCTGTAACATCCCAAATTTCGAGCCCAGAATTTTGTTTGTAATTAAGTAATTTATAAAATTGTTTACTGAAAACATTGTCAATATCATATCAATCCATAAACCATCATTAACATGTCTCCAAAATTAAAACATCGAACAGTAATATAAATCAGAGTACAATCCCAAAAAACTCATTGCGGAAACCATGTGTGTGTGTGTGATGCACTGCTACGCCGCCGGCTCCTTCCCCTTGGATGAAGAGGTACCTGAAAACAAAACTGAAACTATAAGCACAACGCTTAGTAAGTTCCCCTATCAAACCACATACTATACAATCATACAAATTGTCGGGCAATTCTGGGGTGCCCGACCTACCCATGTCAAGCCATTCTGGGGTGCTGACTACCCGTGTCGAGCCATTATGGGGTGCTGACTACCCGTGTGAGGCCATTATGGGGTGCCCTGCCTACCCTCCAGTCTATCTCACCCGGCAACGGGGGACTATTTCACCCCCTACTACTATCAAATCATAATCATACTATCATAATCATGCTGTCATAATCATACTGTCGGAATCATACTATCAAGCATTCCTGGGGTACTGGCCTACCCTCCGGTCCTAACGACCGAGGCGAGGGACTATCCCCTCCTACTACCGCTATCATATACAACATATCATACTGGCACATAAAGCGCATCTAGTAATAGCAACCTAGATAATTATCACACAGACAATCATCTAAAGACAATCCCTGCTGGTGGGCCGACATTGTGGTCGTAGACCCACCTCTACTGGAAGGTAACTCACCTCAATGTCGCGTAGTGTCTGAACTGTCCCTGGCGTGAAAATCGACTTTCCTCGACTCCTCAATCCCTACACGACAACTCTACTAAGTTATCAATTCGTACTCACAACCCCCATAAGGGTCAACCCAAATCCTGATCGAAGTCAACTTTGGTCAAAGTCAACCTCCAGTTGACTTGACTCGTCGAGTTGGTCTACCAACTCGTCGAGTCCCTATTCCTCCAAAATGATCCAACTCTCGACCC